TCCTGCGTTCAATCTCCCCACCACCACCAACACACATCGTGACAGTTTTCAGTCAGCTTTTTTTTCCTGACATGTTTTCCTGTTAAGAGACGGAGGATGTGATGCTCTCTGCACAAAGAGTTTGCAGCGGAGTCACAATGTGACCCGTAAGTCACAGTGAGAAATGTTGTGAATGGGCTTTTTGAGGCATGTAGCGTCATTACTCACCATCTAGCTGCGCCGAACGCTTCCCAGAGCGAGGCGAGGGGGCCGGGTAGGGAGCAGGAGGAGGGTGCAAGGGGGCGAAGGCAGGCGGAGCAACAAGTTTGGGAACTTTGTTTGAACAAGCCTCCGCTCTTTTTTTCTTTTACTTCTCTCGGTGTGGGGCACAGCTGCCAGCAGCGGGCTGAGATCTGCACTTTCCAGGAGCAGCGACAGCGCCATGAATCCGTTCAGCTTTCTGAGAGCCATCATCACCAGAGCTTTGTTCATCCTGCTTTCACTGGTCGCCGTCTGGAGGGTGATATGGGTCAAACAACATCCGTACTACTGGCTGCTGACTTTGCTCTTTCTGCCACTTGTTGTTGAAATGATAATAACACTGAGGAAGCGAAAAGGACTCGATTACAAATGGTAATTTCTTTTTTTGTGCATGTTTCTTCATAAATTTATGATGTAAAGTTCAACACTCTGAGCTATTTAAATGCATGCAGAACTGATCATATTGCACATTAACAGTACTGTAATGTACTATGCGGTCTAATAATAATAATGCGCAGTCCTCCACCCCCTTGCATCCTGCTTGTCCCACTCCTGTAATTGTCCTGGGACAGTAGGGTCCGGGTGGGACAGGAAATCAGACTCCTGAAACCAGCAATCATGGAGACGTATTTGTTATCTGATTTAATTTCCTGTAATACTGAGATGTGTAGAGTAACCAAAAAATAGTGCTCAAGTATGAGTAGCAATACTCCAACATATTCTGTTACTCAAGAAAAAGTAAAAAGTAGCTGTCCAAGAAATTTATCAAATAAGAGTTAAGTATTTGGTAAAAAGGTTGAAGCACTGACGTCATTTAATATTTAAAAATTACATCAGACCGAGTAAAGCATAAAACTATGTAAAAATGTGGGTATTTTACGAACCAAAATGAAAGTGATTCATAAAAATAACAATTTCAAAATGAGTCAAAAATAAATATTTGATCTAAAACAATGTGTTTCACTGGAAAACTTTAACAATAACATCAGGCCTGTGCCTGGTGAATTTTTGGTTAAAACTAGACTCGTTCTTCATTCAGTGAAGTTATTCACAGTCCTGAAATTTTACTCAAGTAAGAGTAGCTCATAATAAAATTACTCAAATGAAAGTTAGAAAGTATTGCATGGTAAAAATACTTCTAAAATTAATTATTTCTCTCAAGAAGTTACTCAAGTAAGTGTAACTTGAGTAAACATATCTCATTACTCTCCAACTTGGCTATTACGTTTCCAGAAGACTGAGTGCATGATAGTTCTTTAGAAGGCACTATCTGATCATAAGTACCCTCATTTCCTGTCAGTTTAAGTGGTCGGAAATGAGTAAAAAATCATTTTATTGTCTTTCTTAAATTATTGAGCAAGTCATAAAAGAAACTGTTGCTGATGCTGGTTATTTTGAGTGAGTAATAAAAGAGGTAATAGTTTTTGTGAGTGTTCTTATAAAAATGAGGAAAAAACAAAACTATAAACATCAAGTTTCTGGAAATGTTCTTCATGGTCCTCTTGATGTGCTGCTTCCCAGTCAGCTCATCTTGGATCTACATTTATCTCTAATAAAATACACACACACTTCATTTGCATTCATATTGAAACTCTTCAGTAGTTTGGAGTAGTACCGATAAACTGATTTCCCCTTTCTTGCAGGTTTTCTCCCACAATTTTTCTGTTTCTCATCAGTATCATTCCCTCCATCTGGATCCTGGAGCTCCACCACCAGCAGAACAGAGAGCAGGACGGCAAGGTAGCTAAAGCCAGAAACCACAATGTTTCTGCACAGCTGTCCAAAAAAAAAAAAAAAAAAAAAATTATCCCTTTCCAAAACACGAATCTAGGCAGATGTGGAGTAGATGGCTGTAAGAGATCTTTCCCTTCTGACAATGTCTGATTCCTCTTTCCTCTTTTGCAGTGCAATTATGAGTCTTTCGAACAAGTTTGGCTACCAAAGAATGAATCATCAGAAAACGGCACAATAGGCAATAGCTTGAAGGTAAGCTAACTAATAGTTCATACATTTTTTTCTGAGGTACTAGATTCCCTAAATAAATGTTAAAAAGTCATCAATGAAGTGTGTTTTTTAAGATGGATAATATGACTCTTGGAACTAAGTTTTTATTGCTCATTTAGATTTTTAATAAGTGAAAAATATGAATCATAAAAAACTGTCTGCCTGTGTGGGGTGCATGTCATTATATGCAAGAAAATAACAATAAAAATAAAATAGTAGCATATTTACTGGGGGTTTTTTGTGCAACCACCTTATATATAAACAATTACGAAATGCACAATTTATTACTGTTCAAAAATATTCTGCATTAATAACAGATTTTCTTCAGGAGTGAGGTCAGAATTTTTTTAAAGTTTTGTTTTCTCAAAAACCCGGTAAAGATCTGTTTTTATACCCAAACTAACATCATGGGAAAAGGACGGACTTCATTCCAGAATCGTTAGTGTTGAGGTGGACAGAAGAACGTTTTCAGGAAGTAAAACTTTATAGAGATATGTATTTCCCAGAAGGGCACAAGGATCAGCTGACATGATGCCTAGTCTGTGAGGAAGTTTTTTTTTTTTTGCAAACTCATTTTTCACTGGTAGTCAGAGGCAGGTTGGATCAGTGAATACCACAGCAAAAAGTTAAAGTTTATAACTGTTCTTGATAGAGGAGATGGCAGTAGATAAGTGCTTTGTATTATCAGTTGCTTACAGCTGGTTACAAAACATCTACAAGGTGGCTACGAATTGACATTGTCAGTAGAAAACAAATGTGACTGTTCAAAATAAAATAACTCTGAGTGAGCTTCTGCTGGTAGGCAACACTTGCTGGCATCACAGACTCATATGAGATGGCTACAAAATGACTCATAGTTGGTATACGACATCTCCAAGGTGGCTATGAAATGACCACTGTAATTTGAAAGATCTGCAAGGTTAAAGCGAATCAGAGGATGGTATGGAACATCCTCGAGAAGAGGAAGATACAAGGATAGAAATCCAAGTAGGATCAGTGCAACGCATCCTGAAGGTGGCTATAATACTGGCTTTTAAATAAGTAAATATAGTTTTCTCTTTCCCCACAACCTACAGGACCCAGAGTCATTGTTAACATCTTGATACCAGATGTTGTGATGTGTCAGAACTTTCCAGGCAGTAAAACAGGGAGGAACAATAATTGGCAAGTGTTCAAAATGCTATGGCAGATTAGTTTTCAATTCCTCAGAATGATATATAAAATCACACCCATACCCAGAATTACTTTCCAAGAAGACAGAAGAAAAAAGATGCACACTGGAGATTGTACTGGGTTTTCCTCTAGTGTCGATTTCCAATCTTTAACACTTTATACTACTCTGATAACGTTAAAGGTATTTTTTTTTTCTTATTTGTAAAATAAGCTCCTGCTACTTCACATCCTAAATCTAAAATATCAGCAGGAACAAGTCCTGAGAACAAAGTTCAGAAATGATAAACGTGTGAACAAAATGTACTGAACAAGAATTCAATGAGAAGGCTGAACAACGAACTGAAACAATTAAAACACTTAATTCAAAAATTCATAAAAAAAAAAAAATAACCACATGACAAAGCAAAGATTTGAAAGAGATCATAGGACTCTAAAACTTGTGGACCCTTTAAGTTAAAAAAGGCTACTTTTGGTGGATTGTTTTATCACAGAAATAGTACTAAATCACATTTAGTCACATTTTTAGTGTGACTTTCTAGAAATGCAACATTAAGAAATTACTACTCATTAGAACTACAGCTAAAACAGGAGTTTAGGGACAATAAACTGAACCAAGCTCAGAACAACATGTAGACCAGGTCATAGAAAAGGGACAACAGAGTTCACAACTTTTCATACAAATGAAATTTTAGGGACAAATTACCTTCACAGAGATGATGTTTTAGTAGCGCAAAGCAACTAAACCTGATCACTAACTTAACCCAGAGTCATGTCATGTTTTAATGTCATGTTAACATTAAAAGATAGTTTTACAATCTGTAAATCAGAAGGTATTGATCTACCTCTTCATCTTAGAAGCACAGTAAACAGGAAGCTTGGCTCACAACACTCTGAGTCCTACTAAGATGGCGGCAGCTTCCATTGACATGCGAAAACAAATTCAGCTTTGAGAAGTTAAATATAGTTAAAATCAAATTGTCTTTTTTTTTTAATGCAAATCCTCTGATAACTGCTCACACTGCTCAGTGGAGGTCCTCTTGTTTGAACTGTTCTCATGTGATGTGTGTCTCAAGAGTTGTTTGGGAAGCAATCAAGCCTTCACAGAGAGTTTCTCAATGTGCCTCTCTTTCCCAGAGACTTCGTGACGTGGTGTTAAATTTCTGCCAGGACAGCTGGATTCTTGCGCTTCATCAGATTCTGCTCATCCTTCTCATCATAGGGAAGTGGCTTCTTCCTTTAGGAGGCGGGATCACAAGAGATCAGCTGTCTCAGCTTCTGCTCATTTTTGTCGGCACGGCGGCTGACATTCTCGAGTTTAACAGTGAGACGCTGGGCGATGTAAAGTGGGTGTTGTTTTTAAAAAAACAAAACAAAAAAACAAAAAACAAAAGGAAACATTTCAATCCATGCATATTACAGCAAAAGTGTGGGTTCCTGTTTAAATTATATTTAAAGTGATCTAAATGTCCGTTGTGTTTTGCAGAGAGAACAGTCGTGTGCTGGTTCACGTCATTTTAGGTGTCTGGACTTGGAGCATGCTGCAGTTCCCCTGTCATCTGAGTGGTCAGTGTCTGCTTGGCTTTTTTTAATCTTAACATCCGTGCTTATTGAGCGGCTACATCAACTTCCAAACAAACGTTTCTAGAGGAAACATGACATCCAAGCTTGGCCTCGGAGCAAAACAGAGAAGGAGATATGATCTTATCTCTGTAACCACGATGGCTCTTTCAGGCAGACATGTTGAGACCTGAACCGCTGCAGACAGATCAGATCAGAAAAAAAGAGCACTGAAGGTGTTTTAGTGTACACCGATTATCTTCTGAGCAGGAATCCGATGCAGGAAACCGTCTGAGGTTTTCAGATCTCCACTTTGCCGATAAGCCAAGGCAGCAGCTGTAGAGAAAAGCACGACTACAAGTTTCATTTTTTTTTGTCCAAGTTTGTTACAGCCAGAGGCATGTGAGTGAACAAAAAAGAAATCCAAACAGGGACAAGTTTATTCAGGAACAGTTTGTTTCTGGAGAAACCCACATTAACAGTCAAGCTGATCTATTACACAACATTATAGTGAGGAAATAGTTGTCATTACCCTTTTAATGCTAAAATATTAGAGGTATTAGAGGCTTTGCTCTCGTAGCAAGAACACACAGACCTTAACAGATGTCTTCCGCTAATGTGTGTATTTAGGTCTGCTTATCTTAGTTTGCCTTTTTATGGCTTGAATTCCCTATAAATGCACAAAAGTGTTGACTTACAAAACCCATTTCTCGAAGACGTTGTCAGAAATACTCTCCACAAAATCTCTGCTTCAGAGCATTTTTGTGTTCAGTCATCATCAGTAGACAGTTTGTCCTAGGACTCTGTCAAAAACTTTTCTTCTTGCTTTCAACAATTACAGTTATTCCTCACATTTTTCAAATTTTTTTTGAAAGCTGAGGTTGACCACAGCGATGTAGGTTGTCGTTTGACAATTACAATTTGCTGCCAAAGAAACCCCAGGAATTTTAAAGCCAGAATTATCCTTGTGTTTTTCAGAAGAATAAAATTGCCCCCAACGAAAACAATCGCTCCATTTGCACTGCCTGACTCAGTGTGGGAGACTACGCAAACTCTCAGAGCCACGCACAGCCAGAGCTAACAGATATTTATCGTTTTTACTTAATCACAATGTACAATCTACAAGAAAAAAACCTTAGAAAAAGGAATATTTTCCTCTCAACGCCAGTATTACACTGCTTCTCAAAGTTTCCTCACAATTACCTTCAACTTCTTAATGTGGGAGAGATTGAGAGGCTTTATCTCAAATTCACTGGAAGTGAGCTGAGGAAAGAAAGAGGATGTGAGCTAATTTGTACACAAATGATTGCTTTGTTTTTACTTTGTTTCAGGGAAAAATGTTACTAAATGACTCCAAATGACCTAAGCAAAGGTGGAAATCCTTTACTATGACTCGTGAAAAAACCCCAGCAAAACCGACTCCAATGCTTTCATAGCTTTTCATTGAAAGTAGCAGATACATCATATTATTATATTTAGCCCTCAGACTAACTCTTACATTAATGAGAAGAGTTTGAAATGGGATGGATGAGCTAAATGTTGTGAGTAGCCGACGGCTCGGTGTGTGGGAGCCGAGAGCTGAGGAGAGACCAGAGGTGCTGAGAAAAAAGTAAAGTATGCCTTTATTTCTTACCATCTTCAGTGTACAGCCTTTAAAATCATGACATAAAATCTGAATATTTTTCTAGAAAAACCCTGGTGCTCTGAGTGTTAAGTTTACATTATGATACTTTGTTACTCCTATTAACTAGCTAAAGTTAAGAGCATCCTAATGCACCATGCATTAGTGTCATTTTCTCTGAAAAACAAAGTTCTTTAGATCCTGAAATACACCAGTCAGAAAGTAGCAACAAAAACAGTAGATAAAATGAATTAGAAAAACAATAATTACCCTTATTTTAAAGGGTAATTTAAAATTAGAGTAAAGTTCTGTTGCTGTCTCAGGATAAATAATCTGACAGGAACAATTATATAAAAAAATACTCTAATACTCCTGTGGGGAAAAAAATCCCTTTGTTCTTTCATTTCAGTTGTTTTCTTCTTCTCCTCTTCTGAGAAGATGGTGAATAAACCAACATACAGTATTTCTACTCAGAGTCCTACAGGATGAAAAGGGGCGCCTGCTTGTTCACGAGCCACTCGCTTTCACAGAAACAGAGACTCAGGAACAAGTGGGAACAACACACACACACACACGTTTGTGTTGCTATCTTTGTGGGGACTTTCCATTGACTTCCATTCATTTCTACTCATTTCTACAGCCTAAACCTTACCTTTACCCTTTTCCTAACCCTAACCATCACATACCTAACCCTATCCCTACCCAAAACTCAATTCATACCTTAGTCCTAACTCTAACCCCTGACCCAAAAACAGGGTTTCGATCAGATGTTAAAAGTATATCAACTGAAGATGTTTCTTTAGATTGAAAATCTAGCTCCTTAGATTTTAATATCATTTCAGGTATTAGGGAACCTATTTTTCATTTGGTCATGTGATGGTCAGAACTTAGACTATTAAATCAGAGAAACTCCCATAGAGATGTGGATTGAAGATCTTTTGAGTGGGTTCTTTGGTTCAACCTCATCACCCGTTTGGGTTTCCCTGGTTGGCCCAAGTACCCAACAGCACCCTTGTGTTTGTTGAATTGGTTGCCATTTCCGGGTTAGCACAATGCATTATTTTTAATGCGTTCTTTCTTGAACAGTGGTGGGGCCCATGAGCGGCGAGGCAGCCGATGAGAGCGTCCAGGGAGACTCCCTCTGGTCCAATCGCAGCACCGACCTGTGGAGCATTGTGGAGAAGCTGTTTATCCACGACGGCCCCTTCCTGGTAGTCCGGCTTATTGTCATGATACATTTTGGTACTTTTCACCAGATGCTTGTTTTCTTTGCCTTTAAAAACTTCCTGGTTGTCATCCTGAATGTGTACAGGCTGTACATTTTATACCATGACTTTAAGTCGTCCGTGCACAGCCCCGTGGGGGACAGCGCAGACTGAAGAGTCTGATGAGTCATTGCTGAGACGGGGTAGAGACAAGGAAAATATCAGATGTTAGACCCAAGATGAGGGAAAGATACAAGACGGGTAAAACATTTCATGTGAAGCAGGAAAAGAAGTAAATGTATGTTTCAATGTTTCCAGTTTATACTTTATTTAAGGCTTAATTTCATCCTGATCCAAAAGAACAACGAGTTCAGAACAGAAACTCTGACCTCATTCATTTTGTAATCAAAAGACATTGTTGTTTGGATGACTGATAATTGGTCGTAGCATTTCTTCTGGGCAATGAATCATAGACCTTTGGAGAGTTTATTTATTTCCCTTTAAGTGGTGCCACATTTATCAGAAAAAAAAATTCTTGGGTCAAGCATCCGAGTCTACCCATTAAAAACTGCCAGTGTCCAAAAGCTTATTCTGCTCTTGACTGGTGTTTGTTGTTTATTATTGGACTAGATGACAAAAATACAAGGAATATTTGCAATTCAACAATGCAATTTTTTTACACTGAAGAATTGCACACAACCAGAACAATGGATGCCATTCTGTTCTTTAACTAATTTAGTTTGGGATATCATTAAATGCTCTCCATTCCCAAACATGTGAGGTAGTGTCATGTCACCTGGGCCAAACTTTAAACTGGACTTACTGTGGCAGTAGCCCAGGGCCCCATTTTGGGGGGCGGTGGGAGGCCTCAATTTCTTTTTTTATATATGTTTTGATGAATGCATGTTTTGCAGATATTGTACTTAAAACATCATGAAATTATAGCAATTTATAATATGGAGCTACTGGCCACGGACCTTTTAAACCTATTGGTTTGTGTGATCAGTTCATAGTGTTGACATGTTGCTATGTGACGTCACGGGTTCAAGATCCCGCACCCCAGGCAGCTCCCTACCAGAGGGCAAGGTACTGCACCTGGGTGAAGTTGACCCCCCCCCCCCCACCCTCTAACCATTAAAAAATTTATTATCAAATGATTGAAGATAAACCACAGCTTGTGTG